ATAGCAATTATAAACTCTTACTTCACAGAAGTCAATCACTTGTTCAAAGAGCTTTATAAAAACTTTTGTAACAATTGACCTCTGTGATATCTTATACAAGTTAAGATTGTGATGACTATCTGAGAGTTGCAGTAACTGACTAAAAACAAAGCCTTTCCAGTGGTCTTTATTGTCCCCCACAGATTCCTGAGGATTACTGCACAGTCCCAGGACTGAGTATTGGCTGATGTACCAGCCAATTTTTTCAGTCCTGTGAGGGTCCATTCCTGAGGACTGAAGACAGTCCTGAGGATTTTCAGACAGGACTAGTCCCAGGCTTGATGCATGTGATGAGTCACATGACTCATGGACATGTGCTTGGATGCATCCTGTGCATATGTGACATATCACATCACCTTTCTCTCTCAACCATCACCACCAGCAACTATGACAACAACAGTGGAATGCAGAGTTGATGTCGCGGCCGCAACACTACGCTTTTTTTCACCACACGACAACTTTCCTTAGTGAATCAACTCCGACAGGTAAATGCCCTTGCTACAACCGACTGTCGACACACCCGCTACAGCCTTGACTGAGTTTGAAATCCTTGATGGTCACATAGCATGCTCTGTACATACCTGATCTTTTACATTGAGGAACACCATGAAATTCCCAAAATGTGTGAGAATATCAATCTCCTTCTTACTGATTGGTATCTCTGTTATATAGAAATTAGGTATGGTATCATGCATAGAGGTAATTTAACTGGAAAGTATGTCTCAATTTGAAGTCCACCCCAAGTCCGCCCAATTGGTTAGGCCCTCGCGACAGAAAGTGATGCAAAGTCCAACTTTCGCAGATTTTCTGTATCGTGGGATTTAGCGGACAAGTTGTTGCGACCCATTTTAGCGGCCGCGACGTCAACTCTGCATTCCACTAACATAATAGGGGCTGTCATGGATACACCTCAGAAGAATGTGACAGATTGTGACCAATACTTATCACTCCCCCACCTATTCCTACTGGACTCCAGGACTCCAGTAGGATTCCTACTGGATTCCTACCGGATTTTGACAAAATTTCCAAAAAGGCATTTTCACATATTTCTCCATTCCCCCTCCTACTGGACTCCTACTGGACTCCAACTGGACTCCAACTGGACTTAAACAAATTAGATGAAATGCTCCACACATTGAAGTCCTACTGGATTCCTACTGGATTCCTACTGGATTCCCACTGGAATATCAACTTCAATGTATTACCAAGTCAGAACTTCAAATTTCTATTCAAAATTCACATTTAAACAAATGTTGTATTGTGAAATGACAACTAAATACAGAAAGATATTTTACTAATGTAATGAGGGAGGGGGAGGGAGTGATGGAGTGATGGAGGGAGTGGTGGAGGGAGAGAGCTATGGAAGGAGGGGAAGTGAGTGAAGTGAAATGATGGAGGGGGGAGGGGGTGAGAGAGGTGGAGAGAGGAAGAGAGGGAGGGAGGGAGGAAGAGAGGGAGGAAGAGAGGGAGGAAGAGAGGAAGGGAGGGAGGAAGAGAGGGAGGGAGGGAGGAAGAGAGGGAGGGAGGGAGGAAGAGAGGGAGGGAGGGAGGAAGGGAGGGAGGGAGAGAAGGATGGTGGGAGAGAGAGAGGGAGGGAGAGAGGGAGGGAGGGAGAGAGGGGAACAGAGAGAAGGAGACAGGGAGGAGAGATACACTGAGTCGTCGTTTGGGTTTGCTGGGTGTTTTTCGTGGGCGGCGGTCGTCGTTTTTCGAGGGCGGCGGATGTCGTTTGTGGGCGGTGGGCGTTTTTCGTGGGCGGCGGTCGTCGTTTGGGTTTGGTGGGTGTTTTTCGTGGGCGGCGGTCGTCGTTTGCATGGGCGGCGGATGTTGTTTGTGGGCGCTAGGCGTTTTTCGTGGGCGGCGGATGTCGTTTGGGTGTGCTGGGTGCTTTTCGTGGGTGGCGCTTGTCGTTTGCATGGGCGGCGGCTGTCGTTCATGGGCGCTGGGCGTTTTTCGTGGGCGGCGGTTGTCGTTTTCGTGGGTGGCGGGCGTCGTTTGTGGTGGTGGGTGTTACGGTCGTCGTTGGCGGGTGGGAGCGGGTCGCTGTCCCTCGTCTTTCTTGTTTGTCGTGTCGGCGGGCGCTCGTGGTTCATGGGTGGTTGTCGTGTCCGTGAGTGGGGTCGTCGTTACGTGCCGTGGTCGTTTGTTGTTGTCGTCTGTCGTGGCCGTCGTTGTTGTCGTGGTCGCGTGTTGTCGTCGTCCGTTGTGGTCGTGGTGGGCGACGTGTTCGTGGTGGGTGAGCAAGAGGGTGGTGATGGTGGTGTTGTCGAGTGTTGTTGGGTTTGGGCAAAATTCCCACTCGCGGAATTCGCCGACGTCCTTTCTAGGAAGGAGGTCAGTACGTTGGTATATAGAGCATATAATAATGACCTATAATAATGCCTTCCTAGTGTAACTGGTAAAGTGCTCGTCTCTATAGTATTGTCCCTATGTCCATAAGGTTGAGAGTTCAATTCTGTCAGGTTGCGCTTTTTTATTATATTATATAATAACAACAACAGTGACAAACTGCTGGTCCTACTGGGCTCCCTGTCCCCGGAAATTCCTACTGGACTCCTACTGGACTCCTTGTACTGGACTCCTACTGGACTCATTCCTTAAAAATCCAGTAGAATTCCACAATTCCTAGTGATTTGGGTTCAGTCCGGTAGGAATTTACTAGGACTCCACTAGGACTAGGATACAAAATTTGTATGGTGATCAGCCAACATAAAATGTGTCCCAGTCCTAGTCCAGTCCGGTAGGATTCCGGGAATCCAGTAGGAGTCCGGTAGGAATAGGTGGGGGAGAGTAAAGAGCTCGTCTTTTGTAGTGTATTAGTAAACTTTGTAGTCTAATTTCGACTTTTGTAGTCTTTTATAGTGTATCAGTAAACTGTGTAGTCTAAGTCCGACTTTTTTGTAGTCTATCAGTAAACTTGGTAGTCTATATCTGATTCTTACAGTACAGGATGCACCTTCCTTTTTTCGGTCATTTTTCCCACGATACAATAATTGTAGCCCTTTCTTTTAGCTTTCTGAATATACTGAAATCATGTTATTTGGTTTTGTTTTCATAGAGAAAAACACAAAAAAAAGAAAAAACGCGATGCTTTTGAAATTCCTTTACCTCATATCTCCACAACGGGAGCACTTCAGAACATAATTCAAACAGATTCGGGAAGCTACAGTGCAGGGCTACAACTTTCGTTTTTGACCATTTTTGGTAATTGGTCATGTGACCACCCTCCAGGGAAGCCCATTGCATGGACCCTGACATGTGGGATACATTTGAAAAATTGCAATGAAATATCCAGGGATACATTTGAAAAATCACAATGAAATACCCAGGGATACATTTGAAAAATCGCAATGAAATGCCAAGGGTATCTATTGAAAAATCACAATGAAATATCCAGGGCTGCATTTGAAATTTCGCAGAAAATGTGCTGGGTATCTATGGAAAATTCACTATGAAATACCCAGGCCTACATTTGAAATGCCTTTCAAAAAATCCTAAGCATTATAGATATGGCCTCTAGGCTTAAGTCTAAGTTATAGAAATGACCCTCTAGGCTTGGGTCTAGGTTATAGAAATAAAGTGGTAGCCACTAGTGCCAACACCAAGGCTACGTCTTGTCCATCAGCCACAGTTACCACTGAACCTATCGAAAAACACGCTCAGCAGGGTTTACTTGTCGATGGGGGAAGTATTGTACCATTGAACAATGGGCCAGAGTTCACTGTTGAAGTTGCACCAAAGGCCAAGGGAAGGGGTCGCCAACGAACAATTGTTCCCTCACTTGAGGGTACTGACGGCAACGACAAAGAGGAGCTACTGCCGACCAATGCCGCTCCGAGGAAACGTGGCAGGAAGCCTGTCAATGAGACTCAGTCAGAAGTTGAAGATGCTCCAGTGAAACGAGCCAAATCCGCAGCGCAAACCATTGACGACCTCCCCGCAAAACCCAAAAAAGGCCGCCCTCGCAAACAACCTCAAGAGATCACCCAACGCGCTCCACTACCTGACCGTTCAGGACGAAATGTGCATCCTGCTGTTCTGCCAACCCCTCGCCGGACCTCTAAGGAGGTTGCTGCTGAACGTGAAGCCCAGCGACAGGCACTTGAGGCGAAGATTCGTGAGGGCGAACAAGCGAAACTCTTGTTTGCCCAAATGAATGTAGCCGAAGAGTACCTCGATGATGAAATGAAGGTGGACAATCCCCAGCGCCTCTCTGTAGCCCTTCGTAAATGTGGACGTGATGATGTTGATGCGACTGACGACGGGGAGCACTTCGACTTTGCTGCGGTCGACGAAGCCTCACCTACGGAAGCAGAAGATTCTGAACCTGTTCAACAGCTGAAGGTGAGTAGTGCAAACTTGAAGAGTTTCGATAACTAACAAACCTTGATATGCGAAGGGGAAGAAGAGAGCCAAGAAAGCGCCAAAGGGAACGATGCGGAATGAGGTCGAGACGATGATGGAGGGAATTCGTAGGGAAGAAGATGTGGGTCGACAGGGAAAGGAGAAAGCTGCCGTTGTGTACGTCCATGTGATGATCATCTGTCATCATCATGTGCTCGTTCTAGAACCTGACTAATGCCCATAAGCAGCTTTACTTCTCTTGACACTGCGCCCAAGACATATCAGAACTCTGGCCTACGGAAAAGCGTTCCATCAAAGAAACTGTCAGAGCTCATCGATCCCCTCCAAAGCGGTGGCCTCAACGACGAGGATGCAAAAGCAGCCCGGCCATCCGAGTTTGAACCTCGTCGTGGCAATGCCCCCGTCCCCCAGGCGACTGGTAGCTACCACTTACATCATGTACTCCTGAGCTGTACCATAGAAGTTCCTGCTTAGCTACCGTGAATGAAATGAAATGAATTTTCATTCATTCACGGCACCTGTTTCATTCTAGATAATTTATTCTGTTTCATTCATTCCTGGCGACTGTTTCATTTTTTTCTTTCATTCCACCAGGGCAACTGTTTCATTCCTTGCTTCATTCTTCTCAGGTGCCTATTTCATTGTTAGAGCTGGGAAAATGATTATGTAATTGATACAAAATATTTAAGTGCCTTATTTGGCAACAGCATGCCTATCTCATTGTGTATTTGAGCCTCAAATGCAAAAGTACCCCCCATATGGCCTCCCACACCACTGCAGTAGGGCACAACACATATCAGGCATAATTGTATATTATTTCCTTATTTAGATGTGTGTTAAAACATCGAAATTGTTGCCTGAAAGAATGAAACAAAAATGAAATAACTGCCTGGAAAGAATGAAATGAAAATTCCATGGCAATGAATGAATGAAAAAAATGAAACAGTTGCCAGGAATGAATGAAACGAAAGAATAAAGCAAAAAATGAAACAGTTGCCATGGTGGAATGAAATTAAAAAAATGAAAGAGTCGCCAGGCATGAATGAAACAGAATAAATTACATTCTTGTCAGTAGAAATGAAGAAAAAATTGAGATGAAATGAAATGAAACAAAAAGTATTTCATTCTCGACGGTAATGAATGAGAATGACTTGGAATGAAACAGGTGCCGTGAATGAATGAAAATTCATTTCATTTCATTCACGGTAGTTAAGCAGGAACTTCTATGGTACATGCCAGGTTTTACATGATGTAAATGGCAGCTACTAGTGCCCAGGCGCCCGTATACCCCAAAGACCTGCAACGCGACCATACTCGCAAGAACAAGGTACGGCCATAACTCAATCATAACTGACCTATCTAAAACCCTTCTTAGCTTGTCGTGCTCACGGAAAGCGATGATGAGATCGAAAGAAAGGATAAAAAGGTGAGGACTTTGCCCGGGATTTATCAATGCTAACGAGTCGAGCATAGATTTCGAAAATTAAGCCTGAGAAGGTCAAGAAGGCAGAAAAGAAATCCAAACCTTCCAAATCGATTGGAGATTCTGCCACTAACCCAACGAACACAGATGGCCGCCAATTTCTCAACGACGGTCGCTGGGCAAAAGTTTTTATCCCAACGATTACTCACGCTTTCTACAACTCCCGAGAACCCTTTCTGGAATGGACTCGTGAATCACCTCTCTTCCTCGCCACCACACAACAGGTGTTCAATCTCGTCTTCGACAATGTTTCTTTTACCCTCACTTCCACTGACCCTGTTGTTCTCGCGGTGAGCATTGCCACGCTTTTCAACATTAGTAGCCACTCATGAGGACTCCCGATACAGGCGTACAGCAGAATCAAGAGCCGAAGGTCAAAACTCGCCACCACTATTCTCGAGACTGTCAAAAAGTTCTTTGAGCAATCGGAGTTCACCAACCAACCACAGAAAATCCGCGAATACGTGCGCTGGGCGCTGAGACCTGATGGGCCGGCTTACTACGAAGTTCCGACCCCACAATCATCAAAGTTGGATCGACGCCATCCGGATTACCAGGTATGTTATGCTAACCTCGATTTGATTGCAAAATCACTAATAGAGTTGCAATAGGCTCCGGAAGGATTTCTTCAATCATCATTCTTAAGGTCAACAATCAAGCAGTACATCGGGTACACCACGAGCTCAGTCCTCCATCCAGCCCTCAGTGCGACAGCCCCACCAAAAGGTCTCTATGCTCTCAGTCTCACTGCGGTACGTAGCTTCGTCGTGTAATGACACACATCACTGATATTGCCAATCAGGTCGAGCGTGCATTTGTTGCGTTCCGAAATGGGACTTTTCTACAGCCTTCGCAATTTAGTCATGAACAAAGTTGGCAAGCGATGAAGGCGTTCTTCGGCCATGTTCATCGTCTGAGCGAGCGGCGCTGGGGTCTCATCCTCGATGTCAACGACGTCGAAGAAAGTGACGAGGATGTTTGCATTGATCAGTCCATGATCTCGGCCTACCGTGCTGACTTCTACATTCCTTCGAGCCCATTGAAAGCCTAACAACTATCTCGGTACTTTCTAGAACTTAGTTTTCACTAATCTTAGCTTTTTTACAAGTACATAGATTCTAGTTAATAGTGGTTCCAGGGTTTTACAGGTTTTTGTAGGTTTCCTAGGTTTTCGCACATTATCCTCCCATAAGGTTTCCTGAAAAAGGGACATAAGTTTCCCAGTCTCCATGTTTCCGGGTTTTTTGCGGTTTTCAGAGGTTGCCAGGGTTGAGAAACCTCCGGAAACTGAAATGCTCAATTACTGATGCAGTGGCGATTTTTATTGGGTGATGTTGCACCGTAACATGCAAAACTAAAAGGACAAACGTTTTCGTCCGCGACAACTTGGAGCATTTTGACAATGTGACGTCCATGTGCAATTGCGAAATCTCGCTGAAAACCCTTGGAATTGATGGTGAATATGCGCAGGCATGTCTTGCACATATATATCACACATGCCCCAGTATTCTAATCTCAAGCAGAGGAAAAGGAAGGTACAGTACTGCACTGACCCCAAACGCAACCTCAAAGCCAATATCCCCCGTCGTTTTGGCGATTGGACCCGTGAACCACACCTGGCTCATACAAGGTATAACAAGTCCGAACGAAGCTATCCCAGCAGCAAGAGCAGCGATGCCCGAAGGCAACCTTCTTGGTGTGTCCCAGTCATCAAGGTCATACTGTACTAATACGACCATCTCTTCTGGCCCTTTTGGGCGTGACACGTTTTGACCATCTCTTCATGACTTCAATATCCGATGTGATGTGTGACAAAGAGTATGAGCTCTTCGTCCAAACAGGGGCCATCGTCAATTTGAAATTTAAAACAATGTTGTACATGCAGAAAAATCTTAGATGGTGGGACAAATCTTGTTAGAAGTAGATGAAATATGCCGAGTGCTGTTTACATGGCTAGGGCACCGCAGGCACCAGAAAAATTAGAAAAAATGGATATTTTAAAATGCCAGGAATGGCTTCAAAAGCCAGTGTGATGTGTGTCATCACGCTCACTTCACTTCCTTCAGAGACCTCTGTGATGCGTGATGCGAAGGCATGGTCGTATTAGTACAGTATTCTGCAGGGTCGTTGTGTCGGATCACAAGATGCTCCAGAATGATAATAGCGATGAACGCACTGGCCCAGTACCCGATCAGCCCAAGGAAGTTGATGATCGTGTCATAGAACCTGTGTGCGCCTACGATCGATATTGGTATCACTCTGAGAAGAGAATGTAAGTTTCTGTGAAGAAGGTGATTGGAAGCACTTACATCGCTGTAGCAACTAGCGAGAATACATATCGAGGAACTACAACCAGGGGAGGAATAAAGATCTGGATGTTCAGCGATATCGAGTAAAATGTTGCTGCGATGTTGCCTGCCACTGAAAGACTCAGCAGCACTGCGAGGAACTTTCCGAATCCTCCGGTGGGGCGGACCATGGCCTCCAAGAGGCCGCCAATGTTTCCGCCTGCATATCCTTGTTCCCAGGCTGGGATAGAAGGAGCTGAAATAACTACTGCAGCACCAAGGCACTGAAGGGTGACCTGCGGGGGATGATTGAGCGTAAGCGAACGAAGACGCACGATGGTAACGCACAATAGGTAATAAGAGCCCCGCAAAAGGGTACCCAAATATCCTCCACCTAACGATATGTCAGTGTAGCTCAAATAATATGCGATCACGGCAATAGCTTACCCAGAGACATCCGGCCGATAGTAAGTCGTAAAATCGGAGCTTAGGCTCGAGAATGTGATGGCAAAGCCAGCAAGGGTGCCCGCGAAACCAAGGACACCAGCTGCCGTTGCAGGTTCCGCAAGTGGAGGATTAGACAAATGTTTGCCTCCCACTCCAAGGGCAATAATGAACGTGATCAGTACTGGGACCCATGACACTTTCTCGTACCTAATTGACATTAGAATTCATAGGTAAAGAATGAGCTTGGGCTTACCAGTTCAGAACTTCGTATCCACAGAACGACACCAGCAGTGAGATGATAGCAATCACAACGATGCCCACTCTAAATTCAAGATGCTGTGACTTCTGATCTGAAGGGGGAGATAAAGGTGCTCACGTCCAGCTGAGGTTCCCATTCCCTGCACTTGCGAGAGCCTGCCCACCAAGAATGCAGTTGAGGATAGAGAACCCACACATGTTCACAAGATTGAGAATGCAGGGTATGATGATTCCGTAGTATCTGTCATTGATGGTCAGGAAATGGTGAATCAATCCTGCACCCCAAGCCCACATACCCAAAAGAATATCGCGATATGACCATCTGCCGCATTCCAAGTTTAGGACCCCATGTCGCTCTTAACTGTCGCGTGAACCTCCAAATGCCAGGAGTAGACGAATGACGTACAAGTAGGCGGGCGGCGCGCAACATATGATGTTGAAAAACAGGATGGTCAGACACGAGTCGCGCAGTCCAAGCCCAAAGATAGCAGGGCCCAACGTTCCAGCAGAGAACCTGGCTATCACTCAGTCAAAACTTCATTACCGTAGGCAACGAATGACTCACGTAAGGATATTGACGTTCCACGAAAACCAGAGGAAAAAGATTTTACTGAACTGGGTATCGGTACGTTCCTCCACCGGCACTGGTTGAATCCCTACAACCAAACTTCGTATGCCAAAAAAAAGACGTGCAAGAAAGCCGTACCCTGCGATTCCACCCCATACGATAAGAGTTTTCTAGTCCAGCGGTCCGTGTACAGAGGGGAAGTATTGCTCGGCAGCGACGCTATTGCCGTCACAGGCTGCCATGTACCGCCTTCTTTTTCCACGTCTTCCTTCTCGTCGAGGGACATGACGATGGGGGATGGGGAGAATGGTGTAGGAGCGGAGCATGCGATATGACTCGAGTGGTAGCATCATGAGAAAATAGATTTTTTCACTTTTTATTTAGATTTGATCTCATTAGATTAGATACGGTATGGAGGAACGTTCCTCGTAAGTAACATGCTCTAAGTTCTGGGAGATCGGAGTTGGGCTATGGCAGCGTCTAACCTCTCAAGACCCATCTGAAGAGACACGAGGGGCATTATAGCATGCATATGACCTGAGATGAGCATTCAGACAGGCTCAAGAATCTGTTCCAGTCGACTTACTTCCAAAAACAGACGGATGTCTCATCCACTTTGCTAAGATCGAACGTAAAGGTTCCAAAAGACTGCTCTCTACACTTGATAAGACATCTGTATCACGTATGCCCGTCTGAACAAGAATCATACTTTCAGCACGCATCAAGAGAGGTAAGCGGAGACAACGAACCAGATTCTGGTGATCGCGCTGGAGAAGAACGTAATAGAGTGCTAAGCATTCTACCAACCGCTGAGGTTCGCTTGATTCTTGGAAGCTACTCAGTGAAATCTGCTTGCTCCCACTGAACAAATCCGGAGGACTGGGCCTAAACAGAATCGAGCCAAAGACACGCAAGAAGAGCGGGGATGTGAATAGGTTTGGTTTCGTGGAGGAGAGCGACTCTATCATTGCTTCTTTAACGAGACCCACGGCCGCAACGCGCATCTGCGGGAGCTGCGAATCCCCAGTAAGGTCTGCGAGGAGCTGAATCCTTAAATCAGGTTGGGTGAGTGTGAGGAGAGAGGAGATGATTCGGAAAGCTTGATGTCTGACGAGTGGGTCAGGGTGGGCACTGGCGATGGTAGGTAGGATAGTACATAGAGGCGTTACAATTTCTGGAGAGAGTGTGGGTGGTGGAGATACGGATGAAGCTCGTATGCGGTGAAGGAACTTGAGTAGAATCGATAAGCATTCGTCGAGGGCGGAGTTGGTTTGAATAGAGGAGATAAGGATTGGGAAGATGAGCGCAAGGTCGTTATTTGAGTTTAGAAAACCATATGCTAAGACAACCAGGGTGGCCGTTGTTGGTGCTGATGTGAGTTCTTTGAACGTGCACCCAAGAAAGGTATACGCGTCCTGTCATTTTGATTAGTAGAAGCCGAGGTAACGGACACAACGCATACGAGAGCTTCTAAAACGACTTTCTCTCCTTCTTCCGACCCCGCACCAACGGAAGTTTTGATTGTCAGTCGAGGGAAACAATGTTCAAATGTTCTCTGTACCACGGATGAGCGGATACAGTGAGCATAAGCGGTCAAAGTTTGGTCTAGGAGATTTTTCATGAGTTGCTAGAAAATGCAACTGAGATCTTTGAAGAGGAAGTCTATTTCGACGATACGTACAGTGCATCCTAAAACGTCTTCCTCTCTGGCTTCCGGGACGCCCTTGACCCACTGAGCAGCCCTTTTCACCAATGACGCCGTCGCAGAAATAAGTGCTCGGCCTTCTTCAGTGGACGCCGTGGACCCAGCCATAAGATTCACGGTTTCTAGCTCAGTAAGTAAAGGTCGAAGAGTGTCCGGAGCTGTTTTCTTTCGCAACTTCAGCTTTGGGATCGCTGTGTTGTCATCAGTTGCTTTCCTATGAATCGAAAAGAAAAAGAGCTCACAAGCAGCGTATAGCCCAGTGAGAATAGAAAGGCGAACTACAGGCGAGGAGGCCGCCTGTTGAGGTACTTTTTGCTCTACTTCTTCAAATCCATCATCGTCAGCGTTGAGTGATACCTCCAGCCTCTCAACTGCTTCCTGAACGGCGATAACAACCTCTTTCGCGGAGCAGCATTCTCCGATCAGGGGTAACAAGTCCCCCGCAGCTGGATCATCGCACGATAGAAGCAGTGAAATCGAATTCAGCGGATCCTGTAATCATATTTCAACATACAATATAAGGTGTTAGATCAGAAAACGTACGAGGAGATCTGAACATCCCGACTTGGATATGGTGTATTTCCGAAAGAGAATACTTTGGTTTGGCATCGTGTGTTGCAGATGTGAGTAGGGCTATAATCGCTGTGCTCGCTGCCTGCGGTTTCTGTCAAGATGTTTATGAGATCTATAACAGACAGTACCTCGTCGTCAGAGCCTTCAGGAAGGTGAAGCGCTGTCGCAAGGTCTTCGTTCAGCGGCATCACTGTAACTTGCAACTTGAAGGTGGTGCTCTGAGTGACGTCACGTGTAACATGTGGTTGAATTTTCAACTCGTTGAGGACGTCCTGAAGACATCTTGCCCTCGTTGCAGTAATCGAACCAAGGCTCCTTTCATAGGGTGCAAATCACCGCTATTGGAGCGTCGAGTTGGAAAAACCATTTGTTCCAACTTGTTGGCTGTCAAACTTCATCATGCAAGATTTTCCATACGACATTTGGCAGGTCATTGCCTCTCACATTCCAGAGAGGAGACTACGTGCTTTATACGGTGTCAACAGGCCGTTGTTCTTAGCCTCAATGAACGCTCGGTACCGAACAATCTCTTTCTCCTCTATCCAGGACAAACGACTTGTTCAAAATCTTGTTCGTCTCAGGTAGTTACTACTCAACTTGCTCCTGACACTGGTTCAACTCATAGTCAGACTCTTTAAATAGAGACCCGTTCGTTGTTAAACGTGTTCGTTCACTCGTCCTGGGGCCTTCCTTGGCTGAAGAACTGTTTGAGTCGCGGGGACGGTGGGCTAAACCCCAGAATCTCTTACTGCGAATGAGGAACGCCCCAGGATACTTTAAGCAAGGGATAAGCTCTGGCGACCTCATTGAAAAGATGGTCAGCGTGGTGCGAGGTTTAAATGGTATTACATAGTTGACCGTCGATTCGGAGTCATACACGCTTTTCCCTATCGTCAGAGCCATCCTCGACTCTTCGCGCACAGGTCTTCTCAAATTGAAGATCTCTCTCGCATATGGCTTCGTCCTATCGTTCCTTCCGTTGGAACATAAGCTTCTCCTCCTCCTCTTCGTCATCTTCGCCGCTCTCTTCTTCGTCGCTGGTATCACCTTCCTCTTCTCTGTCGTCATCCTCGTCACTTGTATCACCTTCCCCCTCACTGCTGTAAGGATGCGAAGAAGGGCGCTATGATGGTGAATCTGGATAGTCGTGGGAAGGGGGTGACACACGCGTCTTTCTTGTTGGAGGGTACCATGTTTTTCGTGGTGCTTGGTGGGCTGTCGAGGAGGTTTGGTGATAGTTCGTTGGCTTTTGCCCAGTTTGTGGCGTTTTGGAGGTGGGGATAGAGAACGTCGAGGACGAGAGGAAGGGAGAGATTGAATGTACGGCTGAGGCGCATGCAGGTTTCTTCGGGTGGGGGTTTGAAGGGTTCTTTCAGAGTCAGAGTCTGCGTCCAGATCTGTCGCATTTATTGGCATCCAATATGGATTAAATATGGGTTTAACGAATCCAGGCCATGGCTTAGCTGCGATGTATGCTAGCTCATGAGGGTCATGAGTAAATGGATAGCAAACGTCGCAGAGGGTGGTTATAAAATACGTTTAGACCGGTTTGAGGGGACGTGTGGAATGAGTACTTCGAGACTAGGTGTTTGATTACGTCTGTGAAGATTGAATGAGTGCATTGAAGAGATATTTTTCCCCAAGACATACCTTCCTTGGTAGGAGGTGTTTCGAAGAAGTATGGATCAGGCGACGCGCTCAACGGTGGTCGAACCGTCTCCGATGGGGCCTTACAAAAACAATGCAAAAGTGAACTCGTACCTATCAAAGGTGAGTTGGGCCATGAATGACGACGACAACGAAGGGCTCACCAGTTCGGCAAGTTTGACACCATCAACTCCGATACTAGCCTCTCAGCGCATTTCACAACGATTACGAGCCTCACATCTCCCGCCTTCTGCTTGCGTTTAGCCGAATATGCATTGTGAACGGCACGTAAGCCGTGCAGAAACTCGTCAAAGGTGTCACCCTCTTATATGCACCCATTCACGGCTCCGTCCTCCCAATGGGGCCTCCAGCTTGCTAAAGAATTGATTATGGATTCGTAGAAGAGCCGCGTTACGAAAAAGGCGATGGCATTTGCGCGTACGTAGCTGATCTTTGAGGGTCCTGGTGCGAATGAGGATGGTCGAGAACATTATCGATGACTGCTATGGTGGTTTGCATGGCGTCAGCGTCATTTATGTGTACGTGAATGGTGGATGGAAGGAAGAAGGAAGGGATAAGGAATAGACAAAGAATGGAGAAGGAATGAAGGAGGAATGAAGGATACCGTCCGACGCCAACACAAGCTTCGCGACCTGATCAAAATGTCTTCATGGGGGAACCTCAATCACTGTAGTTAACGTTCAACTTTGGCGGGGAAGTGAAGGGTGCCCTTTAAGGATCGGTGATCTCGAGTGCAGGAGAAAGGATTTCTGGACGCCATGACCGGGTGTCAGCTGTGTGGTTGTCCATACAACAGCAGCAGCGGGAAAGTACGAGTGCTTTGCATTCTCCTTCGCCGGCTGGAAGGGAAAAGGAGAGAAAAGGCCGCATCCCTGGAAACATCTATGAAAGATTGGAGCTGGTCGTTCGAGAGCGGATCGAGCATGACAAGTGTCTGGCACATGGCGACGGTCTGCCCACTCCCAAAATGTCACCCTTAGTGCCCAAAGGACATCATCAAGCTCACGCAACTAGAGCTGAGAGCGTACGTCTGCCACCCCAGACCCTCCGTGGCACCAACACTTCAACACCTTCCATCTCCCCGCTCGTGCGCGTGCCGTGGTATAAGGTTGAAGAGGAAGCCAAGTCATCTAGGAAAAAGGAGGGACCGACGCCTTAGAGGTATGGCTACGAGGAAACCGGCCTTCCTCAGAATCGTGATACCGTCGGAGTAGATGTGAGGAAGGTGAAAATCTAAGAATTATCAGTAAATGTCGAACGACTACTAATGAAAAAGGTCTTACGCCTTTGAGATCCCCTTGTAACACTTATTCTGAATTGAATTCCTAGTATGATATCCCATATCTAACAAACCGGTCACTTAGTTCTCACATGAAAAATTAAGAAGAATTGAGGACTTACCGGAAGAAGACGGTTCGCGAGGAGATACAGTGGTATGTTCAACGAAAAGATGAACAACTTGAACATAATCAACTCCATCTTCATCCCCATTCCCAGGCGCATAACGACCACATTGCTGTCCTGTTTCCCCCAACTTGAAGTACAGCCGTGACATGGCGGAAGCGATTCTCCTCCCATATCAAGTCAACTGTGGAAGAGCTGCATTTGGATTGAGCATCGTGGGAGAGGTCGTCAATGAAGAGCATACCACAAGGACAGGATCGGAATTCTTTGACTCCATTCGCGATGTCTGTCTTCAAATCCGCGCCCTGCAAGTACACGTTGGTAGACTTTGAGATCTTCCTCGGCGAAAGAGAGGGGACACCGAAGACTGGTCGTCTCGAACACATTCTGCTGTAATGCAAAACCTTGGAGGGGCGCCTATGCGGTGGTGTATGGGTCATGGGAGTGGGAGTAGGAGGAAGTTCTCCAGACGGAAAAGAATGCGAAAATGGGACGCAAAGGCAGGGTGTGTTCGGCGATGACGCGCAGCTTGATCTTTCTTCAAATGCACCCAAGCCAAGACCTCTATACCCCCCGCGCATTATCCCTCGCCTCCATCGTAACGCTGCGAACTCCAGCATATCGGAGGACAAGGGTACATGAATCTGCGATGTTGGTCTGGATTTGTAAGAACTGGGAAAAGGATAGCAAAGGGAATGGAACATACCTTGGCTAGCTTGAACTCTTTCGGACCTCCCCTCGAAATCCGCCACGTATCGCCCCTTCGCCTCATGAGTACGTATCACCAATGGGCTCCCTAGCTTAACGGCGTGTTTGAGTTGCCGTCCGAACACTGTTTGTTGCTCGTTTGAAAGTTGTATGGCGCAGGTGGGTTGGCTTCTGGGGTCAGAGGCGGAGGAGGGACTAAGATGGTACGAAATGCGCGTTGGTGTAGAATTGGGCCTCATGACGTATGGCCAAAGGGATGAACAACTAGACAGAATCAGGACATACGTCATGTCGTTGATATGCACCAAACCCAAGTAAGTACTCACCAGCTCCCGAACGGAACCAAGATGCTCCGTCCTCTCTTCAGCTAGCACCGAGTCTGCGAGTTTCTTGCAGAATTTCTGGACAGGCACCTCGCACTACACAGCTAGGTGTCCTCTGATCCGGGGGTGTTGAGATTGTTCTCTGCATTATGGACAGGTTTTATTGTGAGTTTTTCGACTGATAGTTCAATGGGGTTTTTGAGGGGCTTTGAAAGGAGTTATTTGACTGGTTTCGTGAGTTTTCGAAGAAAGGAGGATGGCGTTGATGTTTGCTTGTGATGGGCGTTAGATGGATATCATGCTAGTTAGACAATTGACTCTGTTTCTCAAGTACATGATGTAGTCACTACATGGCTATACGACGGGCTACAATTGCCAAGGATTGACTGAAAATTCTACGATGCTTGCAAGTGCGCGCGCAGTGTCGGAAATTTCCCTGGCGCCTAATAAGGGTTATTAGGCACCCAAGGCACCCCTAACCTAATAATGGCTTACAACGTTGCAGTTATTTTATTAAGTTTTGGGTTAACTTAATAAGATCAGATTATCAGGCCTGATAAGGTTATCCAAATTATAAATAGTCACAGTCTAGACTTAACAATGTTACGTGGCAAATTAAAAGGCAACAAGCAAGGATTGAACCAAAAACCTCGAGGCTCGTGCGATCCTCACGTGAAGACTACAAATTTGTAGTCGCAACATACCACTACACTACAAAGGCATATAAGAAACTTCCCAAGGTCGTCCATATATCTAGTATTCAAGCCTACCTTACAACAGCATTATCTTTACTCTCTGCATGGAATGTGGTATCATTTTAAGCTGAAAATGATCAAAAGGATACAGGTAACCTTATAAGACACACAAAAAATCAATAATTGGTTCATAGCCTTGACCTGTCTGCAGAGGCAATTGGAGCCTATGTTACGAGGCTGGACTAATCTTATCAGACCCGATTTGCCTTATCACACCTTACCCGAGATCATCAAGCTTGTAACGTGGAAATAATCATTACATCAGACGTCTGGTCGCCTTGTAAGGCAACCGCCCCCCGGATTTTCCCGGCATCATCTCATCAGGTTTGCCGTGAAATGACAAGGGCTTGCAAGGGTTGGATTCACTTTGGCAAGGCCTGATTATGTCGGCGATCAACATTGCAAGGCCAGAGCCTTATCAGGTGCCTGGGAAATTTCCGACAAGGCCGACGCAACTTATGGATGTACATCATATCCGAATGACACGAGTCCACAACGTCCTTGATCACTGCTTGTGGAACAGCAATCTCCTTGTCAAGTCCTTCAATAGCTCGAGCGGCAACCCAATAACATCCAAGTCGGCTACGAGACCTCGAAGCTGCGCATCCGTAGTTCGTGAAAGGTCCCAACGAGTCCAGCATAAGGCGTTCGGTGCTGGCTTGTGTCCCTGTGTTGTGGCAGTAAAACAGACCAGGACATGAGAGGTGAGACTGTAGCGGGGTAATGTGTGAAAGAATTACAGAGGTTAGATTGCTGTCGTCCGTAGAGAAGCCGATAGAATCGGTAGACCTCGCGCTTGATCTTGTGACAGAGGAAGCACGTAGGACTCTGGATAGTCGATACGCGCCTCTCATTCTAAGACCCAGCCGTCTATAGATTCGTGAGCCATCGCCATGATGGAAACAAAAAGAGTCACTTAGTCGGGAGGTCCCCGCAATAAAATGTCAGCCGATGATTCAAAAGCCATTTGAGCTCAAGTTATTGGGATTTGAGGACTACGAGCCTCCCTTTGCCTGCGAGCGCTCCTTTAAGCATCGTCGTCACTTGTGAACATCGTCACTTATGAACATCGAAGGCCTCGACAAAACTCAACCTTCCAGCACAGTTCACTGGTAAGGTCTGAGCCCAATCAAAACCTTCAACCACGACCGGCTATAAACGGGTTGAGCTGCTACACCGTAGATTGTGTAGTGAAAGGCAATTCAGAGGTGGAGTAGCGAAGAGTGGTCATCTTTCCGCGGGCCGTGGCTGTAGGTCGGAGAAGCTTCCTTGGGTTTTGTAAGGGCATACGGATGTCAATTCTTGAATCACAGGGTATGTAGAGAGAGTCGACGTTCTTGTGAGCGTGCCTCCCAGAGTCTTTGAGAAAAACGGCCGACAGGATGTGGCTATGACCAGGGCAGAGGTACCCGGAGACGATGGAAATGAGTCGACGATACGGTGATCGAGATACAAGGACTATGGTCAGATTGCGCTCATAGGGCATTGCGGATGAGACAGCATGAGTGGGAGGAGAAGAACAGATGTTGGCATGGATTGTGATAGGAGAGACTTGCCAAGAAAGGTCTGCTGAAATTGAGGGGGTCGACATCCATCCGGGGGACCATCGAGATCGTCTCCTGTCCTACTAACAGGAAAAACTCAACCCTCGCCGCCACCGTCTTCGTTCACATTCCTCACGAATTGCGGCGGTCGTCGAGGAGCTCCAATTCAACTTCGAAATCGAGCTCGGACTTGAGGAGGGGAGTCGTCTCGGAGTGCTTGAATAAGATTTTCTCCAGTCCGTTTGCAATGCGAATCCACTGCAGCACGAAGAGATCCGCGGGGTAGTACCCGCTACACGGTGGCGACTCGATTTCTAAGACTGAGTTTTTGAGTGCGCCGGTGGAAAATGGAAACTCGCGGGGGCTGGTTGCAAGAGTTGGCTCGGTAGTCCGAGTTGACGTTGGATGTTTGGAGCAGAACAGGCTCTGTGTGAGGAGTTTCGTCGCCCGATTAGATTCCCGACAGCGAATTCAACACAACTGATCTCCGACTGATCACCTCTTCTTCATCGACTACGACGACCACCCGACCTATCGACGTCTTTAGCCTTCCGACTTTCCTAGTCTCCATATTACAACACATCATTTCACTCATGGATTCTTCGTCGTCCACCGCGCTCCTGCAAAACGCTACCGGAACCACCATATCCGGAAGAGCACAGCTCATAAACGCCGGCCGCGATGTTGTTTTTCATGGCCCTCCGCCCGTTCCAAGTACGTCAAAGTTTTACAATCCATTAATACCGCTCATATATTTGATGACATGTAGGTCTAGCCAGCTTGCTTAGTCCTGTCAGCAATGCTACACACACTCGCGCAGGTCACGTCGCTCGATGTGACCCTGGGACTCGTTTGGAGGTCATTGCTCAGATCCGGTGGTGGCTCGATGGCCATGGTAATGATGAACGAGCTGTTGTCTGTTGGCTTAACGGACCAGCTGGCTATGGCAAATCGGCATTGGCACAGACCATTGCGGAGCGCTATGCATTAGAGGGCCGCCTCTTAGGGAGCTTCTTCTTCTTGCGAGGGGCTGGTGAACGCAGCCATATATCTCGCCTGATTCCTACTCTTGCCCATCAGATCTCTCTCACTGTTCCTGGTGCAAAGTCATCTATTGAACGTGCTCTTGAGAATGAGCCAGCCCTGCTTGGGTTGACTGTCTCTATGGCTCACCGACTTCAAAGACTTGTCATAGAGCCAATCCATCTCGATACTTCACGAATCTCCTATAGCTTTGTGATTGTTATTGATGCTCTTGATGAATGTGATGATAAAGCTGAGATGGCAGACTTCATTGATGTCCTGCTCAGGGCATCTTCTGGGGGGGCTCATCTTCCTTTCCGGGTTCTCCTCACTAGCAGGGTAGAGGAACATATTCGAAAAAAGTTTGATAGTCCTGAAGCTCGTTTTTTACACCGTCTGGAGCTACAGGATTTTGATGCTTGTCCAGACATTGAAGTACATTTTCGGAGGGCATTTGATTCTATCTATGACCAGAATTGGCGAATCATGCAGAGAATACTGAAACCCTGGCCATCAGCTCGAGATCTTACTACACTTCTTGACAAGGCTGATGGTTCATTCACATTTGCTACTACATTGGTCCAATGTGTTGGTGGAGATCTCATGCCACACAGGGCCTTGCAAAAACTTCTGGCATCAAGAGCCAATGGTCTAGATTCACTCTATGAACAAGTCCTCTCTTCTGCTTCTTGGACAGAAGACTTCTGTCAGATTCTTGGAACAATCATGGTTCTGACAGAGAACAAATCCATTTCCTTTCTCAGCTCTCTCCTCTCTCTTCAGTGTGAGGAGGTCATTTGTGGGCTATTGCAAGTACAGTCCATTATCAAAATTCCTGGAGATGATGATGAGGCAATTATGCTCTATCACACATCTCTCCAGGATTTTTTGGCCATCCAATCACGATCAAAGCAATATTTTATCAATCCTCCTCTGCAACACATTCATCTAGCCATACTGTCTTTGCAGCATCTGGTCAAATATCCTCCAAAAGACTTTTTTGAGGGTGATGTGGTTGAGTATGCTTGCCTTAATTGGCCACACCATATTCTTTTGGGATTCCAGGAGCACAGTTCAAATCTGGATGAAACAATTATGACCTCTTTGGTAACTCTCATTCAAAACTTACTAATTTTTCAGGGGAAAACATGGTATAATACTCTGCTGACTTTGAGGTCTGATAAAAGAGAAGGGATCTTAAGCTGTGTGAAGAATGGAAAGATTTTGTTTCAGGTCAGTTATTGCAATTTTCTCATATGGTTATCATCTCTTAACATGTATAAGACATTGCAAGGGTCAATTATTGGAAACAATTTCATCGAGAGGTTTCAACAAGTCATTGATTTCTATGAGGTAAGAGTTTATAACAAAGATATTTTCAGTAATTTATTGAGATATTCCAACAGACAGTAAGTAACAGGGGCATATTGCTACTCACAAGTTAATCTGTAAGGTCAATAGGAGGTATGTGGTGATAAACAGCAACTAAAAGGTATCATAATAAAACATTGATCTGTTTTACAGAATGTAAGCCAAGACATCACAACATTTTATTGCTATTAGTGATTTACATAAATTACAGGAGGTAAGAACAAAGAAATTATCAAGAGAAGAAGAGTGTCATTCTGATTATTGTTTTTTCTTGCAGAATGTATGTCTACAAATTGTTCAAGTTTTATATATTCTTATGGTTGTCATTAGTTGGTGGGCAATTATTTCACATAATATGTCACATCTTATCATCAGCCATCTATTTTCTTTCAGCAAGTAAGTATCAACAGTTCATTGTGCTACTTTTACAGCTAAGGGTTTTGTTTATCAATCCAGCTGGTAATATGGTCTGTTCACATTGTCTCTGTATGGATATGAGAATTTTTTCTAGTGGGTAAGTGATTGTAAAATTTCTGAAAAAAATTTGTTCTGACTTACCTACCATGTCTTAGAGAGTAAGTTGTTCACCTATTGATTATTATTTCTTCTGATAACTCATTGTCTGCCCTTTCCATTTCTTTTGCACTGTTCTTGTGATCATGATCTGCTTTTCCCTATTCCAGGATGTATGCTTTCCTGCATTTGATTTTGCACACTTCTAAAACACATGCTCTGGCCATTCTTTGACAGGGAGTGAGTTGGTCTAGTTTTTGATATGCACCATTCTGGTGACACTGATATGGTCTGTCTTGTTTCAGTTTGTGAGTTGGCCTGGTTTTTAATGTGCACTCTTCTGGTGAGACTGATGTGGCCTGTCTTGTTTCAGTTTGTGAGTTGGCCTGGTTTTTAATGTGCACTCTTCTGGTGAGACTGACTGTGGCCTGTCTTGTTTCAGCTTGTGAGTTGGCCTGGTTTTTAATGTGCACTCTTCTGGTGAGACTGACTGTGGCCTGTCTTGTTTCAGCGGGTGAGTTGGCCTGGTTTTTAATGTGCACTCTTCTGGTGAGACTGACTGTGGCCTGTCTTGTTTCAGCGGTGAGTTGGCCTGGTTTTTAATGTGCACTCTTCTGGTGAGACTGACTGTGGCCTGTCTTGTTTCAGCCTGTGAGTTGGCCTGGTTTTTAATGTGCACTCTTCTGGTGAGACTGACTGTGGCCTGTCTTGTTTCAGCCTGTGAGTTGGCCTGGTTTTTAATGTGCACTCTTCTGGTGAGACTGACTGTGGCCTGTCTTGTTTCAGTCTGTGAGTTGGCCTGGTTTTTAATGTGCACTCTTCTGGTGAGACTGACTGTGGACTGTCTTGTTTCAGCGGGTGAGTTGGCCTGGTTTTTAATGTGCACTCTTCTGGTGAGACTGACTGTGGCCTGTCTTGTTTCAGCCTGTGAGTTGGCCTGGTTTTTAATGTGCACTCTTCTGGTGAGACTGACTGTGGCCTGTCTTGTTTCAGCCTGTGAGTTGGCCTGGTTTTTAATGTGCACTCTTCTGGTGAGACTGACTGTGGCCTGTCTTGTTTCAGCCTGTGAGTTGGCCTGGTTTTTAATGTGCACTCTTCTGGTGAGACTGACTGTGGCCTGTCTTGTTTCAGCCTGTGAGTTGGCCTGGTTTTTAATGTGCACTCTTCTGGTGAGACTGACTGTGGCCTGTCTTGTTTCAGCATGTGAGTTGGCCTGGTTTTTAATGTGCACTCTTCTGGTGAGACTGACTGTGGCCTGTCTTGTTTCAGCCTGTGAGTTGGCCTGGTTTTTAATGTGCACTCTTCTGGTGAGACTGACTGTGGCCTGTCTTGTTTCAGCTGTGAGTTGGCCTGGTTTTTAATGTGCACTCTTCTGGTGAGACTGACTGTGGCCTGTCTTGTTTCAGCTTGTGAGTTGGCCTGGTTTTTGATGTGCACTCTTCTTGTAACACATATTTTGGTGCTTCTTTTCAGAAGGTGAGTTTCTTTGCCTTTGGCCATGAATTACTCTTATGACACTATCTCTCCTTACTTTTTTCAAGAAAGTATGTGGTCTCCCCTGCATATCTTGTAAGTTTTATTTTGTATCTTTCATTTTTCAATCTGTATCTATTCAGTCATTATTCTTTATCAGGTGATTAATCTTCAATCAATCTCTTTTAAGAAGGTTAGTCAAGTTTAAGCATTCCATAGACCAGTTTTTATTACATCTCTTCACTTCATTTTTTAGGCTGTAGGTTGTCCATTGACTCTCATTTCAATCACCCTAATATATGCTTATTCTAACTCAGATTGTATGTTTTTATTTCTTGTTATAGAAGAATGCTCATGTTTTGTAGCTTGTATGTCTTTGATCCATTTCCTGATTCCAGCTCCCTTTTCAACCATTCTTTTTGTTAGGAAGTATGTATTTCTTCACATTATTTAACCAGGTCACTTATTTCCAATATATAGTGGGCAAGTCA